ATTCGAAAGATACATCCAGAAGCCTACGTAATCCATTATATGGATGATGTTTTAGTGGCTCATCATGATCCAGAAAACTTAAAAGTGATTTACTCAGAGTTGGAACTTCAACTAAATAGATTTGGCCTTGTAGCCCCTGAAAAGGTTCAACAGACCACAGCTTCTAATTACTTAGGGAAACTGAAAGCAGGACAGAAAGTAAGGCCACAAAAATTTCAATTCAGAACAATCTATCCACCTTGAATGATTTCCAAAAACTTTTGGGGGACATTAATTGGATAAGGCCTTCTTTAGGCTTAACCATGGGTGAATTAAAACCACTATTTGACATACTCTGTGGTGACCCTGACCCCAATAGTCCTCGAGAATTAACCATAGAGGGACAACAGGCTCTAGAGATGGTAGAGAAAGCTATCTCACAACAATAGGTGATTAGAATTAATTACACAAAACCTGGCAACTAATTATCTTACCTACAAATTATTTGCCTACTGGAATTTTTTGGCAAGAAGCTCCAATAGAATGGATTCATTTATCTTCCTCCAGAAAAAAGGTTATCACTCCTTATGCCATGTCAGTGGCCCAATTAATATTGCAGGGTAGAAAAAGAGCTATGGAGTTACTTGGGAAGCAGCCTGCCACTATTACTGTGCCTTACACTTCCACGCAGCAACAGTGGTTGTGGCAAAATGAAACGTTATGGCAGCTCAACTGCCATTATCCATCAGATAAATTATTACAGCTATTCATTCAAAACCCTGTGATATTCCCAAAAATTGTCTCTAAAGAACCTCTGTCTAATGCTCCTTTAGTGTTTACTGATGGGTCGACGTCTGGAATTGCCAGCTATGTTATCAATAATCAGGGCTATACATTGAATACTAAAGAAACCTCTGCACAGAGAGTGGAGTATTTAAATGCTTGCAAGATGTAAAATTTAATTTGTACACAGATTCTAAATACATTGTACCTATCATTCAAGGTTTGGAGACGGCTACCCTGACTGACAGGGGTCCCTCTGCAGTAATAACTGCTCTCTTGTCTTTACAGCAGCTGACTCAGCAACGCACCTCGCCCTGTTTTGTGGGACACATCAGAGCTCACTCAGCTCTCCCTGGACCTTTAGCAGAAGGAAATGCACAAGCAGGCATGTTGACTCGGGGCGCTTCCTTAGTTCTTTCCTCTATGGAACAAGCACGAGCCTCACATGCTCTGCATCATCAAAATGCTTCGGGTTTAAGAAAACAATTTAACATTACTCGTGAAGCCGCCCGACAAATAGTAAAGGGATGTCAAAACCGTCCGGAGCCTACGCCCCTTGTGCCTCAGTGTGGTGTTAATCTGCAGGGATTGCTCCCAGGACATATTTGGCAAATAGATGTTACTCATATAGCTGAATTCGGTAGTCAATCATTTGTACACGTCACAGTGGATACTTATTCTGGATTTTTAGTGGCAACCGCATGTACTGGAGAAAATACAAAACAGGTTATTTGTCATGTATTATCATGTTTTGCCATCTTGGGCATTCCAAAAATTATAAAAACTGACAATGGGCCTGCAGATGCTAGCAAAACATTTACAGAGTTTTGTGCAACTTTCCAAATTACTCATATCACAGGCATTCCTTATAACCCTCAGGGCCAGGGAATAATCCAGCGAGCTCACAAGACCTTAAGGGCTCAAATTGCAAAAGTAAAGACGGGGGAATATACCTGCCATTCTCCTAATAATATACTTAATCTCTCTTTATTTACCCTTAATTTTTTATTTACCCTTAAATTCGGATGCAGAAGGTTTCTCAGCAGCTGAGCAGCATTGGAGATCCCCCAATAGAAAATATGCTGAGGATTTGTGGAGACTCTAACAACAGAGCACGGACGAGTTCAACCTAATGTTTGGAAGTTAGCAGCAAACACGGACATTGTCATAGTGAGACATAAAGATGAGAATCATCCAAATGGGAACTATTCTGTTAAAGGAGGTTTAGCCTGTGTTCCTCCTCCTTATGTATTACTGTTAGGCAAGGTTTTGATTAAGAAATTAGCTGATTATTATACTATTAATTGTGTAAATTGTAACCTTACAAATTGTGTATCTAGTGCTAATGCAAACCTAGATTTGTTAGTATTGAACCAACCTGCGTTTGTAATGTTTCCTGTTAAGATGCAAGGACTCTGGTATACTAATGAAGGACTTGAAGTGTTGCTGAAGTGTTGCAAGAGTTAAATGAACTATTGGAGAGACCTAAAAGATTCCTGGGACTGTTGGTAGCCGGTATTGCTGCTTTAGTTTCTATTAATTCTACAGCTTCTATTGCTGGATATGCTTTTACTCAAGAAATACATACAGCGAATTTTGTTAATGGGTTAGCAAAAAATGTATCTGATGCTTTGGGAGCTCAAGAAGGAATTGATAAGAAATTAGAGGATAAGTTGAATGCCTTAGAAGAAGCTGTTTTACTCATAGGAGATCAAATTCAAAGTGTGAAGGTGAGAATGTCGCTGCAGTGTCATGCTCAGTTTCAATGGGTTTGTGTTACTAAGAAACCATATAGTAACTCTGAATGGGGGTGGGATAGGATTAAAAACCATCTTATGGGGATATGGAGTCAAGATAATATATCTATTGATGTTGCCATTTACATGCTGATATAAATGCTATAGAATCTGCTCCTCCTCTAGATACCTCACCCGCAGACTTAGCAAAAGAACTGTTTGACAAATTTTCTAACATTATCTCTGGGCATAGTTTATTCTCATTATTTTATTCTGCTATTATGTTTTTGGCTGTAGTGTTAATATTCCTATGTTTATTCCCAGTCTGTGTCCAGTCAGAAATACAAAACATCTCAGAGCTGCAGACAGGAGCCCACTGGCTCAAATTAAAAAGTAAAGAAGGGAGAGATGTTGGGAGGCGGTGACGTGTCTGGACATGGTCCATGCCACCTGAGGGTCTGGAGTCAGGGACTCGACCCTCCCCACAATTACCCTTGATGTTGAGAGCCCTCTACGTGTCTGGACATGGTCCACATAGCCTGAGGGCCTGGAGCCAAGGACTCAACCCTCCCCACAAGTTCCCATGAGGAGCTGAGATAAAGAACTTACCAAGGTCTGGGCTCATGCAGGAGGCAGGATATTTACTCTGAAAGAGTGTTTATGCAGCTTTGAAGGAACTAGTAGTTTGTATCACCCTCACTGCATTACCAATTGTTTGTCACTCACTATATAATAAAGGCTTTGAAGCCATTTGGGGCTGCCCCTCAATAGAAGGCGGCCCTCCTGATCCCATAACTTTGTTCGTCTCTTTCATTCCCACCCCTCGAACTCAGGTTTGTTTGTCTTGCAGGCTGGTTCCTGACAACCAATGAATGTATGAAAAGATGCTCAACCTCACCAGTAAGAGAGGAAATACAAAACAATAATGAGAAACTATTTTTCACATGCAGATTGACAAAAATATTTAAGATTCATAATATCTGATAA